GGAGTTACTGGGAATAATGGGCAGGCATCCTCTTAATGAATGGGATAACCCAAATAATATTGCATCCCAGTAACCCATCTTCTCTTTTTCCCAAACAGGGACAGGACTGTGCTTTCAAGGCAATGGTAAACCTGCAAAAATTGAGCTTAATGATATTCTCTGAATTCTACTTCAAAACTTGTTCTAACTCAAGCCCATGTTAGATTACAAATTTTGGTTTTTCCCTTTTAACATGAAAATATGTGCCTATGTTCATATGTATTTCCCCAAAATATTCATCAATTCTATGTATGTCTGAAATGTATCTATTACTCTTCCATTAATTAAAGCATGCTTGCGTGCATTTTTCAAAGGTGTTTTTCATGCACTTTTTTTCAAATGTATGCATGCTGCCATAATTTTAGGTCTGCAAATGACACTGGAAGCTTGTAAATGTATGGTCCTAACCACAGATCACATCTAAGTCTGTAGTTAACCCAAAAAGTACAGCTGGGTAAACACTTATCATAAACTGACTGAAACACATTTCTAGTTCATCCCTAAGCATTACTCCATTGTTTTTACTATTATTCTGAGAGTGTTCTTGCTGCCTTTGTGTATTTCTGTCAGGCCTTCTTGGTTTTCATGGGCAATGTTGTAGAGGAATCTAATACTACTACTTATTTTTTCAAGTCACACTTCTTTCTTGTGACACATGACCAAGCATTGGGTTTAGAATCACTACGTTAATCTAAAAGTGTTCTGAGACATCATGAAGAAACAGAAGAAAGGGATACACATGTGATCTGCACTTCTACTTTTCATGCTTGAGGTGTTCCATCTGAATGAGGAATTTATGCATCTTGTTTAGTGGAAGGTAAAATCAATGAAAACAATTTCGATGAAAAAGTTGACAGCATTTATGGATGATGTATAGCAAAATAAAGTGGTAGTGAAAATGTTAAGTAATATATATTCTCAGGGGGAAATATATTTATAGCTCAGCACTATCAAGTGTACAATTAATCAAGAGGTGACTAGTCCAGAGGCAAATGTCCAATGAAATTATATTTTTCCCTTTCAGCTTTGCATACTCCCAGAAAACTACAGGGTTATTGAACAGGTTTATCTGGACAGTGTATGGCTGTTACTCAGATTCCTGTATCCTTCAGCCAGTGAATGATAGGGCATAAGCCTCTTTAGACAGCCACAAGTTCTACTACTCTCAGCATTCCTCCTAGTGGCTGGGAATTGTATACAATTTGTACCTAAGGCACTAACAGTGCAATCCAATGCAGATGCCCACTGTCAGGGTTAACAAACCCAATGTGTCACCATGATTGCTGAGGAAAAGCCTATAGCAGAAAGAACAGCCTGAAAATGACAATCTTGTTATGCAAGATACATTGATGCAGTTTGTCCTCATTGACACCTTATTTAAAAAGGCAAAAATGTGACAAATCTGGTTTCCTGACTGACAGCTTTTTAAGACAAGTAAATATTTTTACCTTGCTAGCTTCTTCATTCCTGGTACAGTTTTCTCATGCAGATTCTCATCTTTTTCTCACTCTTTCTTTTCTTTGTGATTTCTATGTAACAAGAGTTTCAAGTGTATGTGACCCCCTTGAATGTTTATGTGATTGACACCTTATAAAAGTGCCCTGTACCATGAATCCCTTTGCTGTCACTTAAAGACTACCTGCCTGAATGTATTCTGCATGTCTGAATAAACTGTGAATTCTTTCTGATTGTATACTCCCAGTGTTCTTGCTTTCTTGGAGATTTGACACCACAAACCTCATGGGCATCATATACAGATCATGGGCATCATATACAGGGAGGAAGGAATTCAGAGGTCATTTCCATCTCCATTTTCCTCTCACTCTGCAAATCAGCTAGACCATCAGGTTTAACCAGCTAACTGCAGCACTTCAAATGAGAAGGTAAAGAGGCTGAAATGCCACCAGGATATATTGTATATCCCACCACATAATGCCTCCTTTACCCTTTCAAAGTCATGTTTACATTTTGGAGACACAGATAGCATGGTTCTTTCCATACTGTTTGTGTACAGGGGATCTAAAGACCAATTTCCAGCTCTGAATTGATATGGGGACTACAACTCCCAAAATTTCAAGTTAATATGGCCTATGTCATCTTAGAGAGATGGAAGTTGTAGACCATTACATCTACAAGTTGTAGACCCATGGCAGATGTGGGGAAAGATGGTGTAGGCTGCTAGTTAAGTAACTCACTACCACTAGTGAACCTAAGTCATTAATGCATCTTACTTAATGCCAACTGCCACCACAGGTGTAACAGAAGTTAGAAGAAGTTCAGAATATTAGAAGTTAATGAGGACTACAGGACTTTGTTCTAGATGGATCCCAGCACCAGACGTGATTGCAGAAACTAAGCACCAGTAAACTAAGCATTAAAAATGGTGGAGGAAAAATGACATTCAAATGCATTTTTAAACACTTGCAGATGGTACTACCAAAATAGCTGTATATCAGATCTAAAGCATCAGATGTGGTTAATATAGGTCTTTGTGTGTGCTTTCCATCACTTTTTTCTGGAAAATCACTTAGCGCCTTGATCTTATTAGGCAACAATCCTGTGACTGTTTAGACAGAAAAAAAAAATCCTCATGGCTAGTTGTGACATGCTGGAAGTTATAAGCCATTTTTCCTGTATAATTACACATAGGAATGGACTTCTAGTTGCTGACTGAAGGAGGCATGATTCTGAGGAACAGCCAGACACTGTCCAGATAAGCCTGTCAACTTAGCCTGTAACTTTCCAGGGATATGCACTATTTTAAAGTTTCTCTGATATGAAAAAAGAGCTTATTTCTCCTTTGGGTTGTGAAATCACACCTTGCAGATACATTCCCTTTCTGTTCTACATTTCCATGTCCACACCATTGTAGTTCAACTTGTAGGAAGGCTACAAGTTTCCCATCACTGGCTTTAAAAAGATAGAAAGCAAGGTACATAAGAGTGCTACAGATGAAGTAAGCAAGTGATCAAGGAATTGGGACAACTCCCCTTATCAGGAAAGATTACAACAGCTGAGATTGTCTAGCTTTGAAAAATGGCAACTAAGGGGAGACATGAAAGAAGTGTACAAAAGGACGCATGATGTGGAGAAACTAGACAGGGAGATATTTTTCTTCCTCTCACATAATACTAGAAACATGAATCATACCATGAAACTGACCAGTGGGAGATTCATACAACACATGGTTAAACTATGGAATCCACTACCAAAGGAATTAGTGATGGCCACAAATTAGAATGCCTTTTAATGAAGATTGGACAAATTAATGGAAGGAATGGACTTCAACAGCTACTTGACCTGATAACTGCGGGAGAATCTGGGCATGAGGACACTGTTGCACTCATGTCCTTCTTGTGGGACCCCATGGGCAGTTGATAGGCCACTGTGTAAACAGAATGTTCATCTCCCTGGTCTGATCCAGGATGATTCATGTTCTTAAGTATGTTTTTGAAGACAATGACACCCAATATCTGTCCAGTTCTTGCTGCTAAGTAAGAGACTTAGCAGTCAATGTGTGGGATTTGAAGGTCTCACCTCTACTTGCTCACCTGCTCTCTCTCCCTCTCTGGGTGGATAGAGAAGGGAGGATTTGGCTTGCTGAGCAGAATCATCACAACTGTGTATCCCCAAGGAAGAATTCATGTGAGCCAGTTAGAAGATGAAACAGTTGCTCCTTCTTTGATCTACTCTGAAGCACCAAGAGAAAAGGCACTGGTGGGGAGAACAGGCAGTATTTTAATGTCCAGAACTTTTTTTTTTTTTTTGGTAATGGTATGCATACAGAATATAATTTAACTATTAAAACACCACTACCCTTAATGCAAGGGTCCTGATCCAGGTCATTCCCCTTGCACCTATTCTAACAACAGGCAGGAAGGATGGAAGCTGGCTATGTACTGTATTTAAAGAAAGGAGTTTTTTTTAGCCCCAAACATGGGGCCAATCTGGATTGAGTTAGTTGGGCCCTGTCCCCATAAGCACCATTGTTGGGAGAGAGGAACATTGGTGGGTTGCTCCTTACATAATCAGTGCTCTAAATCACTGCAGGGCTGATGGTATATGCTTTGGACTTCAATTCCCAGCAGCCTCTGCGAGCTTGACCAGGGGATAGGAATACTGAGGGATGAAGTTGAAAACATCTGGGACTGGTTACTGCCCACCTCTAAGCTGCACTGCCCAGAAAACAGGGTTGGGAAAGGCAGCACTGTTGACTGAATTTTCCTTGTTATGTTGCCCAGGAAGGGTGAGCAGCTGAGAAGAGGTAGAAGCAGAGCTGGCTCCTTTCTGGCTTACCCCACTCCTGACCCGCGTTCCTCTACTACAAGCAGCTGACTTCAGAAGAGGCGAGAGGGGAGGCTCAGCGCGCGGAAGGGGCGGGGGTCTTAGCCAGGAGACGGTCCCTCCGCACTGCTATTTTCTGTGCCCTCTGCTGCAGGGATGTGGGAAACCAACAGGCGCTCAGCCTTACCAATTGGCTGCTTTCCCTTCACACTCAAGCATGGCTGTCCTAAGACCCCTTTTCAAATATGTGAGTTTCACGTCATGCATCGTAAGGCCCTGAGAGAAGCTGACAGGAAGGGGCGGGGGGGGTGGCAAAGGGACACGTCGCGGAGTGGAAGAGCCCACTGAGCACCCAAAAGCCGGGGTCGGAGTCAAAAGAGGTCGGGAACTTCCTTGGGCACCCTCAAGCTTGCCCGGTTTCCAAAGAGGAAACGCGACTCATCAGGTGGAAGATGGAGCTCCCGGCCTCCTCCAAGGGCAGGAAGCACTCCCACGGCCCGTCTAGCCTTTCACGGGGGAGGACAAACCTGTTCACCGCCCCCTCCCCCTCCTCCTCCCGTGTGTGGGAGCAGAATGCGGTGATCCGGGGAGTTGGAGGAGGAGCAGCCACCGGATGACTTCATGCAGCCGGAGCTCTGTGAATTTGGAATCAGCAGCTGCAGCTGGATGCTGGCGAGGTGAACGACGGCTGGCCCTGCTCGCGGACGTTTGCCCGGCGCACCCGTCGCCCCCACCCCCCGCGTCGGCTCTAAAGCGGCCGCCGCAGGGGCTCGCTGGGTTGCAAGGTTGGCGAACGGCGGGGGAGTCTCGGCCGCAGGGCGCGGGAGGCGGACGCGCTGAATCAGCGGCCCTAGGGAAGGTGAGTGAGGAGCTTTGCGAGATGCCTCCTCCGTCCCCGTCATTCAAAGCTGAGTGGAAGGAGGCGGCGGAACCCCCGGGCGAAGGAAGGCCGGGAGGGGCAGGGCGCAAACGCAGCACGTGCGAAACTGGCGGGGCGCGCGTGTGAACGGTGAATTCGGCAGCAGACGCGGAACGCCGCTTTGTGGGGCTGCTCCGATGGCTTTTGCTTGCAGCTTCGCTCCGGAGTGCTCTTTCCCTGCCCTTCTTTTTTTTTCCCCTGGGTCCTCTGGCCATTGCAGGTAGCAATAAGTGGATCCTTGAAGTGGAAGGGGGTCACCGTGCACAACTCGTGCGTGGTCCCCTGTGCTTCCTAAGCGTTGGCTGCGCTGCACGGAGATGCCTCCCCACCCCCTCTAGGGACAGCGGTTGTTTTCTCGGCTTCCTAAAAATAGCCCAGGCTCTGAGAAAAGGGGAGGGGGCTGCCGATCGTTTGCCTTCCTCGTGAGAAGGCTGGCCTCTGATTTGAAGGAAAGTCCATGTGACGGTGGCCTTTTGTCTTCTTCCCCTTCTTCTTCAGAACTTGTTCGGGGTGGTGTTTTGTGTCCTTTAAACCCAGGGCCCCGCACCGTGCTCTATGGGGCTCTGGTGTGATGGCATTCAGGACTGAGACAAGCTGCAACTTGATGGACTAAGGCATGGCACTTAAAATATGGGACATGTGACAGCTCTACTTCAGTTTACTTAAAGGTAGGTTATGTGCTATGGAAGGGATTGTGTTCTGGTTGTAGGTGTTGAAGTGGAGGGAGCCACTTACTGTTCCTGGATCCTGGCTGCATGGTATTGTCCCTGCCAAGCACACACACTCTCTCTCCTCATTGGACCTTCACCATTTTTGCTGCCACCATACTGGGAACTGTTTTCTTGTGGATGTCGCCATGTTTTGTTGCTTCTGCACAAGCAGCCATTTTAGCATATTACACACCTGTACACATAGTGCTAGGAGTTAGGGGAATGTTCGTAGCAACTGTGAGGCTCCTGGGGAAGTCACTGATGGCACACCAGGGTTGTACATTCTAGAACTTATTTTCAAAATTCATGGATGTATAAATTGGGACTTGAAACCAGTAATACAGTTCTAGACTCTAGAATTATAGGCTTATTTGAGGTGGGGGCATTTTAGGCAGTAATATGTATCATGTCACTTGCTTCAAAATGTAAGCCATGACTGCTATGCTTGAGGGGGCCCCTGCTCATTTTGCTGAACTGCTCCTTGGGCTTCGGTCCCCAGGTGTTGCCCTGGCAACTGGCCTGCCTTGGGCCTATTTAGGGCTTAACTGAGCACATTTCTGACTGGCTGTGGAACTAACCTAACCCTTTTGACTTGTTATTCAGTGTGGTTTAAGGGATAGATATTTTCCCCACCATCATCTTCTTACTGTATGCTTGTAGGGTATTCATTATAATTTGTGTTCTTCAGTCACAGAGAAGGTTCCATATATGCTGTTGGATGCCTTCAGTGTTTGAAGCATTTGGCATGAAATCCAAAAACTGATGGTTGTCTAGTAATCATTTCTCTCCAATAATAGAAATCTTTCCTGCCTGAAACATTGATTTTGTGCCAGAATACGCAATGTGTTATGCCAATAGTCTGCTGAACACCAAGTAAGCTTCCTTTGTGTTGGTTAAAAGTGAATCACTGCAAATAAATAGTGAACACTCATTCTATTTAAATAATGCAGAAAAGAAGGGAATATTTCCTGGGGGCAGTCCTAGTTCTATCCACACATTTTAGTAATTCATGTGATAACTATAGCTCAAAGTGAGCTTCCATAGCTGTTTTTATCCCCTCTTGTTCCGGAGTTAAAGTACAAGTCAATCCAGATGTCTTGTTAAAAATGATTGGTGCTACAAACTTGCATTTGTTGGGACCCAGTATAGTGGCATACATAGTATATTTTAAGTTCCAGATTTTACTGCAAAAGGATATCCATTTTCTGACCAACTGAGAGGTGTTTTAAAATAGAAAGGCTGAAACTATTGTGAGAATCTTCATTTAACAAGCATAAATCTTGGTCAAGTTCTATTTTAGTGCCACAGTTATTGAATATTACTGTGTCTCCTTCATCAGAATGTTCAACGATACCCACAATATTTAGGTAATAGAAATTGTGTTGGCATGGAAATTTGTTGGCTGGTTTAAACTTTGAAATCCAATAATAATCTTGTGATAGTACTTTTCAGATTCATGCTTCCATGCCCTCTGTTGGATTTCTACCTGTCATGGAACTCCTGCAGGCACAAAAGCCTTGTCAAATAAAATGACAAGAGCTGTTTGCTAGCCTCTTTCAAACAAGTGACAGATATGGTTTTAGAAGTGGTTTTATGGTACTCTGTTTTTGATATAGTAGATAAGAGATTAAAGTGGTTTACATATGGCTGCCATGTAGCTAGCTACCCTGTTTGAAAGGCATTGTACTAGACAGAATGTCTAAGATTTCATATGAATGAGGAGGAGGAATCCATTGAAGTCCTGGCATATTTGGCATTTTTCTGTTTTTATAATTTTCCTATAAATTATTGTGGAACTTTGTGATGGAGGCAGGGAGACGAATGTGCAATCTAGAATGGTTAAGCTACTGATGCAATGGCTAGGAATCAGCCTGGGGAGAGAATTTTTAGTGGAAAAAATAGCAGAGGGGAAGTTTAAGTGTCCCCCACCTCTAAAGTGAAGGTCTTCTGGGTTAGAATGCCACTTTGCACCCTCTACTGCTGTTTTTACCAAAAGGAAAAGGGTTTGGTGCCAAACTTCTTGTGGCTGAACATTGTGTGTAGTTTGACCCTGAGGAAGTGGCTGCGGGGGTGGGGGAATGGAAATGGCAGCTGTCTTTCTCTAAAATGAAAGGAAGGAATCCATTGTAGAGTATTAATATTTACACTCTGAACTATCTAACAATGCTGCTGCAACCTGGGGTGCCTCAGAGGGTAGGGGTGTCTCTTTGGAGCAGATGTTAGTGTGGGAGGCAATTATAGAGGAGACAGAGAAGCTATTTCACACAGTCAGGAAGAGAAAGATAAAGGTGTTTGTGGGAGGACAAAGAGGCAAAGTCATCTTGCAGTGAAAGAAAGCAGCAGTAATTACTGCTGGAAGATAGCAGTGTAAGCCTGGAATGACCACCATATGAATGCTTTGGTTAATGTTGAACCAAAAAAGGCAGTCTGGCTTAGTGATACAGCCTGCATCCCTCAGTTTCTGCTTCTCTGTATTGCCATCAATCTACCTACACTACCACCTTTGCTCTCCTCCCAACCAGGCTCGATCCAGCTGAAACCTTTTAAGTGGGAAAGGGAAATGGGATTAGAGCTAGAAAGAAGATTTCCCATATTTTATAATGTCTTGAATACTTATATGAAGATGTGAATATGGCTAAGCAGAAATGGCACCAGAATAAGGTGCATTCAAAATTCAGAAATAAACTACAAACCGTGAATGAACTTGAATGACTTGCCCGAAAGATGGGGTATCAAAATACATTAATCTGTTACTGTAGAATCCAGAGTTCCTTGCTTTTTTTGCTGTTTCAGTTAGTCATGTGCCCTTTACAATGTATAGTGCTCTGTCTGAAGGGTTGTTCAATCTGAGTGTGCTTTAAAGCTAAAGAACTGTAAGAAGAAAGATTAGGCCTTGAAGTTGCTTATCAGCAGTGTGCATCTGTGCAGTAGACTATGGCACCATGATGAGATGTGCTCTGCCTTGTACCCAAGTGGTAGTAATTATTTTTAATTACTTTTTAAAGTTGCATCTATACTTGTAAAGTAGCACGTGAATTTCTTATGCAAATCTGTGCTTCTAGGTGCTTCCTCTATTTTGGTGGTACATGTGTCGCCCTATAAAGTGCCTGGATTGTAGGGTGAGCAATTAATAAATAGCTGTTTGTTCAATCAACCATAAACTCTTCAGGCAACTGCTTTCTCTCTCTCTCTTTTTGCTTCAGCACTTTATATGCACTATAGGGATAGTAACATAGATGTACCTTACAGGATGGTTGTAATGGTGTCTAATATAATGTACATGTAGTACCTCTGAGTGCTCAGAATAGTATTTAAGTGTTTAGATTATGTCACACTGGGTCATTGCAATACAAATAAGCAGGACTGTGGTAACAGGGATAGCAAATGCTTCTTGTATTTTGCCAGGCATCAGGTTGTCGACTTACAGCTACAGTGAACAGGGAAAGTATGTGTGTGGGGGTCCAAAATTGCAGGTGCTCACTTCCTCTGTATGGAAATTACTTCATAAATGTTTGAACAAGAGCTTTACAGACATTCTTTTGCTACAGCTGTAACTGAAATAATAGTTCTGAGTCCCAGAAGTTTAGGGTTGTAGCAGTCATCAGAACTGAAAGCTACTGAGATCCACACAGCATGTGTTTATGATAAAAACAACACTTATTATTTTACCCTCTCCTCTAGCTTTGATTTAATGTACACAAGTACTAGTGATCATCTCTACTGAATAGGCTCTAGGCCAGTGCTGGTGAACCTTTTTGGAGACCGAGTGCCCAAACTGCAACCCAAAACCCACTTGTTTATCACAAAGTACCAACACTGCAGATTCAAATATGCCAGGAGGACAGCACAACATTAAAAGAATCTCAGTCTCTTAATTAGAGCATTTCTTTGCTATATCTTCAATATTAAATTTCAATTTTTCGTAAGAAAACTCAAAGCTAAAATCTTGTGTTAATAAAAACAAATGTATTAAAGCTCCTTGGCAACGCACTGACCGGCCATGTGGAAGCTTGGACAAGTCATGGCTAATGAGTCGCAGGTTATGACATCATCACCTGGCACCGCTATTTCTTTCTGAGCATGCACATGGCCTGTATGTGCATTGTTACCCGATGCTAGGCTGCTGGAGCGATGCTGGGGCAACTTGGCTCACGTGCTGACAGAGAGGGCTCTGCGTGCCCACTGTGGCACACGTGCCATAGGTTTGCCACCCCTGCTCTAGGCTACTTGCTTTATACTCTAGGCTACTTGCTTTATAAGGTATCCAGAATTAATGCATTGCTCCCCCTTCCTACACACTCATATAGTTTTGTTTCCCTGTACAAACCCAGAATATGCATTAAGTTCTTAATTTAAATTTCTATTTTCCTGTTGTCCTTTTTTGTTTTTGCACCCTTCGCTAAAACTGTTCTGTATTTTCTGGGTAGCTAAATACTTTGAATAATTCTTCTCTCCCTTCCTCTTTCATTCAGTCCCCATATTGTGCATATTTTCTTTCATTTTCAGCTGACCAAAACACATTGCTGCAATACCCATCTGGTTTCTGTGTTGTGTAGGATGGGGTAAGGAGGTGCTGATGCAGCATTTGTGTACTCAATGGGGCTGTTTGTGTCTGCTACTGAAAGCTTACTTTTTTCCTCAAAAATGGAGAGGGGACATGCTTTGGAGATCTCTTAATGCAGATGACAGTGCAGTCCTATTTGTGCCTGCTCAGAAGTAAGTCCTGTTGAGTTCATATGTCTAATTGCAGTATTACTTTTCATGCACCCAGGTTTAGAACAATGAAAGAACTGGCAAAGAGTGAATATGCTGAGATTATATTCACTGTATATAACTAACTCACTAGAAGGCCTAGCGTGGGGATCACTATTTAGGTTGGGGCCATGCATTCCCTGAAAGATTAGGTGCATCACTTAGAAGCATTCATTGATTTTACAGAGTTCCTAGTTCTTCGAGTG